CTCTCTCTCTCTCTCTCTCTCTCTCTCTCTCTCTCAGTCAGACCCCTGCCATATCACTTGAGATGGATGAGAAACACATGCACACGTAACTCTTCTCCGTAGATCACAGCAAACGCGTTCTCCTTCGTGCTTTCTTCGGCTGTCACGTAGTTTGTTGGTAAGCATTCTAGATAGATGCCCTACATCCAGACTGCTCCGAAGCGAATCCTGTATTGCCTGAAAAACGTGCATTTAAAGTTTCTGTTCCTGTCCCTGCCTTCATTGATGCCTCTGTCCTGTGCGCTCAAGGACAGACTTCAGAGTAACCTACTACACCTCCCATTCCCATCCTGTCTTATTCCATCCGCGCTCCTGCTCCATTCACTCTACTGTTCCTATCTATGTGCGCATCGCAATATCTGACTTTCATTTGTCTTTTGCAGACCTCGATGAAAATACTTTTGGCCACTGCAAACTGCCTGCCTTGTCTAGTCTAACTAGTGTGGAGCAGAAGTTTATCTACGGGCTTGAAGAGCTCAACCCGTCCCAGCAGCAGATGAGGCAGTCCGCCCCGCTTAAAGAGACAGATCAGAGGCTGAGGATTTGCAGTCTCCTCTCACAGCGTACTCACAAGTCCAACCCTTACAGCTTATACCGTTGTTTCGGTCAACATGTTAGAGGTATTAGCCTACTGCGGTAAAACGGTGGTAACTTGTATACATGAATAAATGAATAAATAACACATAATATAAAGCTTCATACACTACAATAAAACTGTAGCATAAATAAATTAATTAGCTGAACAAACATGCTTTTTTATTTTATTTTTTAATAAATGCAAAAATATGTTTCATTCTCAGAAAACGCGGATCATCAGCATGTCAGGAGGTCAAACAAAATTGTATATGAGCTGTTTTAGCCTATTTTATAGGCTATATATTTTTAGCTATTTAATTTATGCGGTGTGCAATTTCGAGGTGAGCAATAAATAACAAACACACAAATAAACAGTGTTGGGGAAAGTTATTTTTAAAAGTAATGCATTACAATATTGCGTTACTCCATAAAAAAGTAACTAATTAAGTTTCTTAGTTACTTTTTATGGAAAGTAATGCGTTACGTTACTTTTGCGTTCCTTTTAAAATCTGGACAGGGCTTGCTTGTTTGATTTTAAAATAAAAAAGTTATATTTTTGGCAAATATAAAAGCCTTTTCACACCAAAAGTGAAATGAATAAGCCTCAGGCTGAAGAGAAAGTACGTTTATGTCCGTACAGTAGAACGCAGAAGAAGAAATTTCAACACACTTCAGCAATAAAAAAAGACACACAAATGTTGTCTAGAGTAATTTGTGCTTATTAGTACGCTTGAACTGGATCATCGAACGTCAGAAGAAAAGACATTGGTTAATAGAATGGGATTAAATACATAAAGGATATTTGTGTTGTTTACATTTAATTATTGCAGGTTTGCGTCATATTCTGAGTTGCATTATTTTTATTCATTTTGAGCAATATTGAATCTGTGGATGTTTTTTTTGTGAGTGAGATGAATTAATGCATATTCATATTTATTTTAGAACTACAGTAACATCTGATTTCTCTCAACATGGGGACAGGAGAGTTGTCAATCAATAAATTGAAAAAATAAAAGTAACTTGCGTTACTTATTTGAAAAAGTAACTCAGATATTCTCTTGTAAATGAAAAAGTAATGCGTTACTTTACTAGTTACTTGAAAAAAGTAATCTGATTACGTAACTTGCGTTACTTGTAATATATTACCCCCAACACTGCAAATAAATAGTTTGAAACCACGACAACCGCATTGCAGGTAACATGGTTGCACATTTAACATAGGCTAAATGAAAGTTTTAGCCTACTCAAAAGTCTCTAGATTTCAAATAATGCTGTTTGTGTCGTCTAATGCCGCTGTTCATCATGGTAGCTGCCCAAAAACACGATGCCATGCACAGCCATAGCCTATACTTTCCGTGACGTGTAAATTGAAACAATGACAGAAATAGTGATTTACTTATTTTTTTGCTTACAAGCGAGATATTCGTTTAAAACAGAAATTAGATATAGGCTACTGCCACTTTCCAAAACTGCAACTTTATTTGCAAAACTTTTAGCTTTCGTCATTTGAGTCATTTTCTTATGATTAAGATTTTATTAAAGAATAAAGCATGCTTCTATCAATCATTTTGCTTGTGCTAGACTATTGGCACCAATAAACGACAGTTACAAAAGTGAACGATCGCGCCCCCTGTTAGAAACTACAAATCCCATCCTCCCTTCGGCGTCAGTGACGTCACTCGTGCGCCAGTGTTCGCGGACGCAGCAGTCATGGCGGACGTTATGAATGTTGGAGTGAATTTAGAAGCGTTTTCTCAAGCGATTAATGCCATCCAGGCTCTTCGTTCGAGTGTCACTAGGGTGTTCGATTCTCTTAAAGATGGGATGAAAAATAAGGAGACCCTTGAAGGGCGGGAGAAAGCCTTTATAACTGAATTCCAAGATAACTTACAGTCAGTCAATCGCGACTTAAAGTGAGTGTATTGTCTTAAGCATTCAATAACCCTGTGAAATGTTATAAAGGTAAACATAGTCACTGCCAAAATGCAAGCGTTAGCCTATTGTAGTAAACCATGGTAACATGGTACTACCCACTGCTGTCGGCTTGAAAAGCGATTATGACAGATTATGAATTCCCACATTAATTTATTTTGATTTTAATGTATTATGGTATGTTTTTCTAAATAATGACTGACATATTTTTAATTATGGCTCAGTAAATCAAAATATCTTGATTTTAGCTTGGCTTTGGGAACCATAATTAAAAAGATGCAATCATATGTGACTGGTTTTATTATGTGTGGTAAAAAAAAAAAATCAACCTTACCAGCCTGACGTTTGTTTCTTGTTTCTTGTTTCTGCAGTGAATTGGAGCGTCTCAGTACTTTGGTTGGCAGGCCGTCAGAGAGTCACCCCTTACACAACAGTGGACTGCTCAGTTTAGACCCCGTTCAGGACAAAACACCTCTCTACAGCCAGCTGCTCCAGGCTTACAAATGGTCCAATAAAGTAAGTTGTCTGCATTTTGTTGATTCACCTTGCATTATAGGCTTTATATGTAACACACACAGGAGATTTAAAGGTAATGGGATGACATTTAAATGACGAATGTGGTAAATGGTCTATTCAGACTTGAGCCATACGTCACTCCAGAAATATGTTCAATACTGAATGACGGAATAAAGGGTCATCTTGATGTGGTCCAGGGTTTCCAGAGTCTTGGACAATGTTAAAATGTTTAGTTTTTTTCCCAGGCCTTGAAAAAGGTATATGTATTTTTCAAAATGTGGGGTTTGGCAAGATTTTCTTTTTAATGTTTAAGTAAGATGTCTCTGATGCTCATTAGGGCTGCATTTATTTGATCAAAATGCAGTAAAAATGGAAAGGAAAAAAACCCCCGTGATAATAATATTGAAAATGTAATTTATTCCTCTGATGGCAAAGCTGAGTTTTCATTACTCCAATCATCTGTCACATGATCCTTCAGAAATCATTCTAATATGCTGATTTGCTGCTCAAGAAACATTTATTATTATTATCAGTATTATATTTTTTGTGGAAACCGTGATATGTTTTTTTTTCAGTGTTCTTTGATCAATAGGAAGTTCACAGAAATAACATTTATTTGAAATATAAGTACACTAGTCAACATTTGAAGTGGATCAAAACCTTTCATCAAAGTCAACATGAAACCAAAATGCGTTCTTGTCTCAGGACAACTTTGATGAGCTTTTTTGGTCCACTTCAAATGTTGCCTGCTGTATTTTGTGTCTTTGCTATTCTTCACTATCGATCAATTTAATGCATCCTTGCCAAATAAAAATATATTTAAAAAAAAACTGACAAAACTTTTAAACAGTCTATGATTAGTAATCATAAATGATTGGAAAGGTAATGGAAAAGTCATGTAAGTGTTTGAAATTCTCATTGATGAAACTTTCGGTAGACAACAGATAGGGCTGTACGATAAATCAAAATGGAATCGAAATCACGATTCGACAGAAGCTGGGATTGTCATGCGTGTCTTTCAGTGAAGCATGGTTCTGTGATCAGCAGTAAATCTCCATCCAAAGGCCAGAGGGCGCTCTCTCGCGCTGAAACTCCAAATACGCCTCGCAGAAGAAACCCAGGAAATGCCTATAGCGGTAGCTGGATAAACAGAAGATTTAACTGCTTTTATTGATTCAACGTGACTAATAAACACACGATTATGACAATATTTGGTTTATCCGAGTTATTATTATTATAATTTTCATTAAAATAAAGTATATTTATAATGCAATGCCTTTATCACTGCTTAAATACTATGAAATATGTTGCGTGCCTTATTCTGTGTAAGAAGCCACATCATCACACAGAAGGATTTATTTCAAACACTCGACTGACGTTATGAAGTGAGTTTGGAGTAAAAATATGTTATGAAATGTGGTATTTTCACATGCTTTCAGATGGAGCAGCAGTTCACTGAGAAGCTATGCAAACAGCTTTCATAATCGCGAACGATTTCTTCGATTTCATAATTGCGCAATAAAATGGTCTGCGATTTTTTTTTTTTGTTGTTGTTGTTTTTTTTTTGTTGCGTAACTTCTCAGTGAACTACGGCTCTGTGTAGTAAATGCTGCTCCATCTGAAAGCACGTGATGATGATTTACTGCTGATTACAGAACCGGCATTACTAACAAAATGTGCATGACAATCGCATTCAATTAATCGTGCAGCCCTAACAACAGTATTTTGTTTATAGTGCTTACATTTGATATGTGTCAGTTGTAAAGTGTGATTTTTCTTCAATGTTTCATTTACATTGGTCACTGCAAAAAATGCAATAGTAATAACTGGAGTGTCTCGGATATTAAAACATGAAGTACATTTCATGTTTCCCCCCCCATCCATTTAGAAGAAAAGCGCTGATTGGGGGATTTAAGTCCTGAACACATGGAAACTTCAAGCATGAAAGCTAATGGAGGCTTGTTACCAATGAAAGACCATGCTAATGTCAAAATTAATTGTTTTCAGGATCAATAACCAGTGGGAAAATATCACAGACTTTTATGCTTAATGACCCGAGAGGAGCAGAAATCATGATCATGATTAAAGTACTAGTCTTTAGTATGTAAACAGAGATCCATATTGTAGTTTATTTGTGTTCTACACAGTGATATAATAGCCAAGCATACAGATTTTTAGCATCATATAGTTAAAAAGTATATTTTGCATTCACTGTCAATTGGAGGTGTTGGTCAGAGCCTTTTTTTGCCTTAGTAGACAGAATGGACAATGTCTTCATTTAGTATTAAAAGTTACTTCACATCCATTCATGAATTCCAGACGAACATGAATACAAGACTTACATCATCATGGGCGTCAGACTCAGCTGAGACATGGAATTGAATATCATCTCGCGTCTAATAATACTTTAATACTATAATCAAGAGGAAGCAGGTCTACAGTTTGATGATCTAATTCGCAGCGCATCAATGAGACGCATTATCGCTTGTATCTGTGATTTGCTTAAAGCAATGTGAGAAGTTTGAAATGTAAAAACGCTTGCCAAGTCCGTCTGCTTAATTCGACAGAAAATAGAGTTGTGCTACTTCTTGCCTAGTAAATCTTCTTTTGTTCCTGAAAAAGCTGTAAAATTCTGTTCTCTTTGGATCAAGGTCCTCGAGCGAATCCTCTCAATAGAATGCGCACCACGTCTTGCCAGAAGAGCCCACACTTGAGATTCAATAGATGTGGGTGTTCTCACAGCAGAACCAACATTTGCTCAATATCCATTACGGCTGAGTGCTTTGACTTCTTTTGATCTTGAGTTGGTCTTCTGTCCTAAGTGTTATTGAACAAGATTTGCTATTCTTACTGTAAATGCAATTTCACAGTATGCGTGCGCTCTGTTCTTGAGTTCTTTGATGCTTCACCCTTGCAGGTGATGCAGGTAGCATTATGATAGACCAGGAGACACACTCTTTATTTGTTTTTTGGAAACACAGCACAAAGCAGTGGTTTGATTCTTAATTTGAGGTTTAAGTAATAGGTTATTAAAGGGTGAAGAGTGTTTTGCAGTAGCAGATCACCTGTTCAGGTATCCTGCATGAATTGGTGAATGTGTGGCAGGTTTTTGGTGCGGTAACTGGGGTTAAAGTGCTCAATCAATAGCAGCTACTCATCAGTTGCTCTCTCCACACTGTTTGCTTAATAGTAGGTGTACATAGGTCAGCTTCTTAGAGCAAAATCAAATCTTTTCAGCATTGCTATTGCACCGAAAAACTCTTGAAACACATTGTAGGTGTCTTTTTTTTTTTTTTAGTCATTCAAATAAATAAAACTACTTCTTTTTTTTTTGTCATATTGAATTGTTTTGAAATGTTTCCTGCCTCTTCTTGCCCAGAGGTGCTTTTAATAGAGGAAACTTTTTAATTCCTTTTTTTCCAGTTTAGTGTTTGTGCATCCCTTTCTATGCCACAGTGTCTGTATTTTTAATGAAATGCACAATTGTAATGGCACGATATTGGTTATTTATTTATGAATTTATTAATAGCACCATATTGGTTATTTATTATGAATTGATATTTGACTAATAGACCTATATATAATATATTGTATATTTAAATTGTATGTATGTATAGCCTATATATTAACTTTAAAAAAACTGGAAAGTAAATGTATTCAACATTTCATATTTTTAATCTAAATTTGCTAAAATAAAAATAAAAAAAATATATATTATATTATTATTAAAATAAATATATTCTTTATATTATTGTAACTATATAGACATTATTTAAAAATAAAATAACAAATATAAATAACAAAACTACAAAATTACAAAAACATTAACTAAAATTCCAATGAAAAATGAAAAATAAATAAATAAAAATACTAATTAAAAACTATAATAGTATCTCAATTATAAAATAACTTTGCTTTTTTTCAATTCAGTTTGGTGCCACTAGTGGTTTAGAAATGACCTGCTTCACCTTTGGCGGTTGTGAAAACAATACATTTTAGTTTAGATTAAAGTTGACTGATGAATTGCATAATACAACCTAGGAGTCCATATACCATTTATGTTTATAGCGCTTCATACAGTATAGATTGTTTCAAAGCAGCTTCACAGTAATAAACAGGAAAATAACTGAATCAGTGATACATACTTCATCAGTTGTGAGAGGACTTTAAGAAAGTAAATTGGCTTAAATTCGGTTTCATGTTGACTTTTGAGGTCAAAACTTAGATTTTTTTTTTCTTCCAGTTTGAAAACCTTAACTAAATGTCTGCGTTCTACTGGTCTCATTAGAGTGAGGCGGTACTGCATCAGGATGGTTTGTGAGCTTCTTCTGCCCTCTGGGTGGTAGGGCAGCTGTTTTCCCACACTCTGAGGGTCGGAGCGTTACAGCAGGATTAGGTGTGTCTGGGCTGGACGGTGTGCGGGCAAACATGGGCGTGATGCCAAACCAAGGCTCTCTGCAGAAGTATTGATGCTTCCGCGCTGTCTGCCCAGACAGCACAACCCCCACCCCACTGTAAACGCGATCAATGCGGACGTTTCCGCCATGCAAATTACCCCAGGATTAATGCACTTGCTGCTTTTAGTATGGCTGTTTTTGGCCATTGTCTCCTTTGAGTTGGTTTCTGGTGGCCCGTCAACCTGCGGTGTGGGCATCAGATATCAATTGGTATTTAGGATTAGATGGAGTTTTATTATTCAGTATGATCATTATGGAACATTTAAGGAGTTGCACCATGAAGAATCAACATTTTTCATTATTTTGAAATTAAAAATGGTGAAAACAAACTAAATTATAACTGTGACACAAAAGAAAATATATACAATAGTTTTTTTTTCTTATAAATGGACCTCAGAGGAAAAAAAAAAAAATAAAAAAAAAAAAATGTTTCCAAGTGACCCCAAATCATTTGAGTTGTAGTAAATTATAGAGCCCGACCGATATATCGTTTCGCCAATTTTATCAGCCGATATGAGCCTGTCGCAGATATATCAGTGTTGG